GTGTCTGACCCATCGCGACCGCGTGGACCATGTTCCTCCAGGTCTTCCTGTCCTCTACCATCTTCTGGAGTCCATTTAAGTTCACACCTACTGCTTCAGTGACTCCATCCAACCACCTCATTCTCTGTCGTCCCCTTCTTCTATTGCCCTCAATCTTTCCAAGCATTAGGCGCTTCTCCAGTGAGTCCTTCCTTCTCATTAAAGTATTTGAGTTTCAACTTCAGGATCTGGCCTTCTAAAGAGCAGTCGGGGTTGATCTCTTCTAGGACTGACCGGTTTGGACGCCTTGCAGTCCAAGGGACTCGCAAGAGTCTTCTCCAACACCATAGTTCGAAGGCCACAATTCTTTGGCGCTCAGCCTTTCTTATGGTTCAACTTTCACGGCCATACATTGCAACTGGGCAGACCATGGCCTGGACTATACGCACTTTTCTTGGCAGGGTGAGGTCTCTGCTTTTTAGTACGCTGTCTAGATTTGCCATAGCTTTCCTTCCCAGGAGCAAGCGTCTTTTAATTTCTTGGCTGCAGTCCCCATCTGAGGTGATCTTGGAGCACAGAAAAATAAAATCTGTCACCACCTCCATTTCTTCCCCATCTCTTTGCCAGGAATTGAGTGGGCCGGATGCCATGATTTTGGTTTTCTTAATGTTGAGTTTCAAGCCAACTTTTGCACTCTCTTTCTTCACCCGCATCAAGAGGCTCCTTAGTTCCTCCTCGCTGTGTGCCCTTAGAGTGGTATCATCTGCCTATCTTAGGTTGTTGATAGTTCTCCCGGCAATCTGAATTCCAACTTTTGTTTCATCTAGCCCTGCCTTTCTCATGATGTGCTCTGCATATAAGTTAAATAGGCAGGGCGACAGTATACAGCCTTGCCGGACTCCTTTTCCAATTTTGAACCCATCAGTGGTTCCGTGTCCAGTTTTCACTGTTGCTTCTTCACCCGCATATAGGTTTCTCAAGAGACAAATAAGATGGTCTGGTATTCCCATCTCTTTAAGAACTTGCACAATCCACACAATGAAAGGCTTTAGCATAGTCAATGAAGCAGAAGTAGATGTTTTTCTGGAACTCCCTAGCTTTCTCCATGATCCAGTCGTATCGCGCTTCCCTGTGTTACACCTTAAGAGGTTGCTCCTAAAAGTGCACCCCGCTCGCCCCCTTCAAGCAAACCCAGATGTTTTTATTCAAGAATAGTTTTGTTTGTCCTGCCCTGCTATTTCTTTAAGGAGATCGTACGTATGTAGGTTTGTATTTGGGCTTGGTGTTTCTAAACTATATTTCTTAGAGATAACTATGTATTAATATAAGCGCAATATCAAATATCTATTTGAAATATTGTGTATTTTTATTACGAAACGATCAATATAAAAATAAATGTAGTTTATTTTGAAGAAGTATATAACCTATCGTTCCCTTATAGGTTTATCATTTAAAGGATGGATAAAAGGGGTGAGACGTGCGAAGTTGCAACTAATGGCATTTATTAATTTGTTCGCCGTCCATCTAACTTTGTAGGCCTTCGTCTATTACTAAGGTGTTAATACCGTTAATAAAGATAGAGAATACGGTCATTTTAAAATGCCATTAAAAAGGTTTATTTCTTTGGGTGGCCGCAACACCCATTTTTGACCCCAGGAGGGCACAGTTTTCTGTCCCATAGCTTTGGCTTGGAGTCCATCCTAGGCCTTTTTAATGGCCTCCATCCTATAGCTAAGGCAGGGGTAAGGCAACCTTGGATCTTTGATGACTGGTGGACTTCAACTCCCAGAATTCCTGAGCCAGCCCTGCTAAGGGACGGAAAACTGGGGGGAAAACTGGGCCGCTTCCCTCGGCCTTCTGCGCGTGTCCGCCGGCTGGTTCTTGACGAGTAATCTGCGAGAGGCCCTCTCTGGACGGCGGGCTCCCTGTCCGTCGGTATCGGCCGTCCCCCAGGTGCTGCGGTAAAAGGACCTTTCCATCATGTCCGACTTCCGGTCCTTCGTTCTTAATCTTTCCCCCTACTTCCTTTCGGGTAGACCTCCTCAGCATGTCCGACTTCCTGTCCGCGCAAATTCGCCGTCCTCCAGGGTCTTTGAATTGCGACCTTCCCAACATGGCCGACTTCCGGTCCGTTCTTCTTAATCGTTCTTCCACTTCCTTTTTTTCGGGGACCTTCTGGGCAGGGCGGACTCCACGTCCGATCAACGAGGTAAGCCTTGAAAACCCCATTCAAAAGGCTTATTTCCCTTGGCGGCCGCAATACCCGTCCCAGAGCATTTACCATCGAGGCCACCTTAGGCCTTTTCCACGGCCTCAATGCCGCTATCGCTAAGGGAGGGAAAACAGTGCCCTCCCGTGGCCAAGCCGGGTATAGCAGCCACCAAAAGAAATAAACCTTTGAAAATGGCAAAAGGGCCTCCCGTCGCCCTATTAATATTAATAAGAGGCTACTAATAAAGACGGGGGGACAATAAATAGCCTTAAAATCCCATTTAAAAGCTTTATTTTTTTCGGCGACCGCAGTACCCGTTTTTGACCACAGGAGGGCACACTTTTCCGTCCCGTAGAATGACCATCGACGACGACCACGACGTTCCCAGTACGGCCGAGTTCCTGTCCATCCGCCGAGGCCGTCCCCAACTTCCTGTCCGTTCCCTGCTTTTTCCCGTGCTCTTTTCTGAACTACGTTGACGGAGCGCACGTCTACCGGCGAGGCCTCAGGAAGGAAAAAAGGAAGCCTGCTACTGCCTCAGGTGAGCCGAGCCATCCCCGCATTTCCTGATTCCCGAAAGATACCGGCTTTCTCTGTTACCTAGTTAGCGGGGGATCCCCACCTTCCCCCTCCCCCGCCTCCTCCCCGGCCACTCGTTTGGTCCTCTCCCCTAAGATGTCCGCCTGGCCGTTCCTGGCCTTTCGCCGCCGGTGTCTGTAAAAATGCGACCGAGAACCGGTGGCGGCGGCGGCGCCGCAGGTTGCGAGACCTGGTTTCTTTGCGCTCTTTCCCTTTCAGCTATAGGGGCTAAATTGGGAACGTAGAGACGAAGTTAGCTTGTTTTAACAACACACTTCGGGGTGGTTTATGCGAGCTCAGCCGCGGCTTCTTTTTAGCTCCTTTTTAGAGGCGGGGCCGGCGGGACACGCTCCAGGCTTTTGGCCTCCAGGTCTGGAAGGGGGTTCCGACCCGTCTCGGGGGTCTCCTCGAAGGCTGCCAAGCAAGGCAGCCGTTGAATGGTGTTGTCCGAGCGCCCGAGTCCCGGATGTAGAAGAACCAGTCGTATCGCGCTTCCCTGTGTTACATCTTAAAGAGGTTGCTCCTCCAAAAAGTGCACCCCGCTCGCCCCCTTCAAGCAAATCCAGGTATTTTTATTCAAGAATAGTTTTGTTTGTCCTGCCCTGCTATTTCTTTAAGGAGATCGTACGTATGTAGGTTTGTATTTAGGTTTGATGTTTCTAAACTATATTTCTTAGAGATCCCTCTGTATTAATATAGGCGCAATATCACATCTCTATTTGAAATTGTGTGCATTTTTATTAAGAAACGATCAATATAAAAATAAATGCAGTTTATTTTGAAACTGTGTATAACCTATCGTTCCCTTATAGGTTTATCATTTAAAGGATGGATAAAAGGGATGAGACGTGAGAAGTCGCAACTAATGAATGGCTTTTATTATTTTGTTCGCCGTCCATCTAACTTTGTAGACCTTTGTCCAAAACAAGTCAGGGTTAGGAAGGGTAGGAGATTTCTTCCTTTCCTCTCCAGGTTGCCGTAAACAGCCCACCCACCGCCCAGAGGTAAGAGAAAGGTAAAGCAGGTCTCTCTGGGGGAAGCAGGAGACCCGGGTCTTTGCAGAGACTTGCAATTTTGCTAACTTCCCCCAGTCACAGCTGCATCGACTGATGTAGCGGCCAGGAGGAAGGGTGGGGAGGAAGGGTGGGGACGCCTGCCGGATGAAAGCTTAAGCCTTTTTGGAAAAGGCAGTGGAGAAAGGAGGTCACGCTTCCTCTGCCAAATGGGTGACCCCCCCCTTTCTGTGGCTGTTAAGAAGGAACTGGGGGAAAACAGATAAGTTGTTCTTGAGGATTTCCCCCCCCCCCCTTTTTTGCCAGCTTCAGTGAGATTAAGGCTTTTCCTTTTAAAAAGACGGGGATGGAACTGGAGGAAGGTTGGGAGCCCAGTAAAAACCGCAAGAGGCAGTGGGAAACACGGTGGGAGGTTGCGATTACCCCCGCTCCTCTAAATTTTGCAGTTTTGGTGGGAAATAGCAGGAGGTAGGATTCCTCTCTTAGGAAAGCTCAGGTCTTTCAGATACCTTGCTGGTCCCCACACACCCCATTTAATCCATTTTCTTGCTGCAGAGAGAGATTCTGTTAAGTTCTAGCTGGAACTCCACGTCTCTTATTCTGTTGGTAGCTGCTTTGCTTAGGTTGGGTGTAGCCTAGGGATATTTAAAAACAGTGAGGAAAGTCCACAGGAGGCCCCCTTATGCTCCCATCGCCTTTTTCCTGGGAGAGGGGAAGTTATTTATTGAGACTAAAGCGGTCAAGCCCTCTGGGAAGAATTGAGTCCTACGGTTAAAGAAGGAATAGCAGTCACAAAAGGAAATAAATCCTTTTAATATGATTTTAAGATTATTATTATTGATCTATTGAAGTTATTGAATGGTATTAAGGGTCAAAAAACAGTGCCATCCTGTGATTGAAGCAGGTAGAGGAGCCATTAAAAAACTTTTCAATAGAGGAGAATAAATAAAGGTCAAAAGTGAAAATATGTCTATAATAATGTATAATAATATGAATTATTCTTAGTAAGAAGTAGAACATGTAGGAAGAAAAATGTAAATAAGAAATAATGGGGCTATAAGGACAAATATTCTAAAGAAGAATAAGGGGGAAATGTAAATATTAGATTACCGTTACGTAATTGCTGTAAAAAAAAGGAGTATATATTGTATGTGTATGTGTGTTATATTTTGCTTTGTTCTGTTTTGTTGGTTAAAAATAAAAATTAAAAAAAAAACTTTTCAATGGCATTTTAAGGTTATTCTTTATTATTAAAACCTTATTAATATTAATAGGGCATCACAGTCCTCCTTAACTAGATTTAAGGCTTTTGAAGCAGATTTCTTCTTCCGCGCCTGCGTTGCAGCAAACGGGCCTCCCCTGGCCCTATTAATAATAAGGTGTTAATACTGTTAATAAAGATAGAGAATTTAAAATGCCATTAAAAAGGTTTATTTCTTTTGGTGGCCACAATACCCATTTTTGACCAGAAGAGGGCACACTTTCCCGTCTCATAGCTTTAGCTTGGAGTCCATGGTAGGCTTTTTTTAATGGCCTCCATCCTATAGCCAAGGGACAGAAAACTCTGTCAAATCAGATACTGCAGCCACAAAAATAAATAAACCTATTTAATGGCGTTTTAAGATGATGATTATTCTTTATTATTAAAACCTTATTAATATTAATAAGCCACGATAGGCTCATTCCCATCCCCTACTACACTTGACTTGCAATCACGGTCTACAGGCCATGTGGCAAAGTACCACAAGTGGTACACATACCACTGGTTGAAAAGCCCTGCTCTATAATTATTAATATCAAGGCTTCTAATAATACAGATGCAAAAGAATAACCTCAAAATCCCGACTGTTCTGTTCCCTGAACCTGTCTTGCCCTCTCCGGCTGTAAAACGGGGCCCGGGGGCCATTTTACAAATGCAGATGGGGCAACTAAGCCTGAGAAAGAATCCCTGAAATTTATGTTTCCAACATATGAACTGTATCTCTATGTTCCCAATTTGGCCTCTTGTTTTTCTCCCTCTGAAGTGGAAAGGGCACAAAGAGACCCAGCCTCCTAGTCTCTCGTACCGGCATCCAGCCGCCTGCTTAGGGACAGGAAGTCGGCCATGCCGAGAAGGTCGTTCTGAATGGAAGTGGAAGGACGGCCACAGAAACGGACAGGAAGTTGGCCATCCCGGGGAGGTCGGTGTGTAAGACAGTGGAGGACTACTGCGCATGTGTGACTGGAAGTTGGCAGGTAAGGTTGATTTCCTTGTGTGGCTGCTATTCCTGCCTAAGGCTGCGTTCTGATGACTTTGCCCCTAAAATAACAACATAGTCTTTCATATCTTGGGAAAGCCTGACTTTTTTGCCCTCTTTTGGGCAAGGAAAGAGTAGGGCCTCAGGTTTTTAAGAAGAGACTTGACAACCATGTGTCTGAAGTGGTACTATAGGCTTTCCTGCTGGACTACAAGACCTTCCAACTCTATTGTTGTTATTGTTGATCTCCCAAAGCAATTGCTCACTGTATTTTCTTCCACTGTTTAGAAGGAAAAACATAACAGAAAGGAGAAATTATTCTCCTTTTAGCCGTTGTTTTGTGGTTAATTCAGGGTTCGGGGGAAATTTGACCGGCTCCTCTGGTTCAAGCCTGTGCTCCAGCTCAAAATATGGAGTTGTGTTGTTTTGAGGAGGCTGTGCCAATAGCAACTGGGAGGTCTTGTGGCAGGATTTGATTCTCTTCACCCCAAGACCAGCTGGTAAAAGCAGGAAAGTTTGCCTTCTCATGGACACCTTCCATCGTAAACCGATCAAGAATTCTGGTGATTTGTTATGATTCCTACAACTCAGTGCTTTTTTCTTAGGCCCTAGGAGTAGATAACCCAAAACACTCAAAGAGCCACTTGGACCCATTTACAACCGAAAACATCTTTTATGACTCATGGACTTCTACTCCCAGAATTCCTGAGTCAGCATAGCTGGGCTAGCTAGCTCTCTCCTGCCCTTCCTGCTTCCTGCAGAGACGCAGCAAAAGGAGGAGTGCCATCCAGTAAGCTTTTTAGCTCTCTTTTTTTCACACACACACAGAGAGAGAGAGAGAGACAGAGAGAGAGAGAGAGAGAGAGAGAGAGAGAGAGAGAGAGAGAGAGAGAGAGAGAGAGAGAGAGAGGAGGGGGGAAGCACAAGTGCCCCTCTCTCTCTGTCTGCAAATGGCAGAGGAGGCTGGGAGCCGCAGGGGAAGGCTCAAAGAGCCATATGCGGCTCCAGAGCCGCAGGTTGCTGACTCCTAGGGGCACTCAGAGTACACCTTTGATAAAGGAATATACATAATAAGCAAACACGTATAAAACTGAGTTTAGTCAAAGCAGCAAAGTCTGCCCTCGTGTGGCCAGTGTGTGCTGTAACGTTTAGCAAAGAAGCCCTGAAGTGGCTTATTTTTATTCTTTCATTTCCTTCCGTTGATGGAAGCTCAAAGCAGCCACAGAAGAGGCTGCTGGGAATACAAAAGATAATTGCAGAAGCTAAAATTTCATTTCTAATAGGGCACTGAGGAGGGCAAAACAGGGAATGCTGCCCTCCTGTAGCCAGGTAAGTCCATGGCATTTTTTTCCCCAAGGTACAGCAGAAAAGGTTACTGGATAGATTAAATATAGATTGGGTGTCAAACTCAATTTCACTGAGGGCCGCATCAGCATTGCAGTTGCTCGGGGGGGGGGGCTGGGTGGGTGTGGCCAGAGTGGGTGTGGCCTACTGGGTGGGTGTGCATGGGGTGGGTGTGGCCTACTGGGTGGGCGTGCCCAATTCTACACCAGTCGCGTCAAGGGTGCCTGTGGGGGTCTGGGCAGGAATGAGACAGATCTGAGGGTCTCTGGCAGAAGGGGGTGGGACGGGGGGCAAGTGCCAAGGCATGGTCCACTGGGGCAAGTACCAAGATGGCCACCACAAAATTGTACATTGGCTCCCAGCCGGCTGGGGCCAAGACAGCGGGCTCCCTCACTGTTTCCAGGATGGCTTCGTGGGCCACATGAAACCACTTGGCGGGCCGCATCCGGCCCCCGGGCATTGTGTTTGACATGTCTGATATAGATGATTAATAGGTGAGATAGATAATAGATGAGAGAGGGAGAGAGAGAAATCTAAAACATTTGTTATATAAAGCACAAAAAACTTAATTGGAAGTTTATTTTGGTAGAACCCCCAAATCCTTACAAAAGATGATCCTCGGTGATTTCGGCACAGGGCAGGAGCACAAGGTGCCTAACAGGTCCAAGCTCCTGACCGCAGGATCCCAAATATATTCATATTCATATTAGTAAAGTTGGAAGGGACCTTGGAGATCATCTAGTCCAACCCCCTGCTCGGGCAGGAAACCCTACACCATTTTGGACAAGTGGCTGTCCAGTCTCTTCTTAAAAACTTCCAGTGTTGGAGCATTTACTGCTTCTGGAGGCAAGCTGTTCCACTGATTAATTGTTCTCACTGTCAGGAAGTTTCTCCTTAGTTCTAGGTTGCTTCTCTCCTTGATGAGTTTCCACCCGTTGCTTATTGTCCTGCCTTCAGGTGCTTTGGAAAATAGCTTAATTCCCTCTTCTTTATGGCAGCCCCTGAGATATTGGAATACTGCTATCATGTCCCCCCTTGTCCTTCTCTTCGTTAAACTAGACATACCCAATTCTAGCAACCGTTCCTTATATGTTTTAGCCTCCAGTCCCCTAATCATCTTTGTTGCTCTTCTCTGTACTCTTTCTAGAGTCTCAACATCTTTTTTGCATCGTGGTGACCAAAACTGATGCAGTATTCCAAGTGTGGCCTTACCAAGGCATTATAAAGTGGTATTAATACTTCACGTGAGATTGATTCTATCCGCTGTTATGCAAAGCCTAGCACTGTGTTGGCCTTTTTGGCAGCTGCAGCACACTGCTGGCTCATATTTAAATGATTGTACACTAGGACTCCGAGATCCCTCTCACAGTTACTACTATTGAGCAAGGTACCCCCTATACTATACCTGCACATTTGTTTTTTCTTGCCTAAATGTAGAACCTTACTTTTTTCACCAGTGAATTTCATTTTGTTAGATAGCGCCCAGTGTTCAAGTCTGTCCAGATCCTCCTGTATCCTCAGCCTGTCTTCTGGAGTGTTGGCTATTCCTGCCAGCTTGGTGTCGTCTGCAAATTTGATGATTTCCCCATCTATCCCTTCATCCAAATCGTTGATGAAGATGTTGAAGAGTACTGGGCCCAGAACAGAGCCCTGGGGCCCCCCACTACACACTTCCCTCCATATAGATGCAGTTCCATTGAGGACCACTCGCTGAGTACGGCCGGTCAGCCAGCTACGGATCCATCTGGTGGTGGTTCTGTCTACCCCACATTTTTCTATCTTGTCAAGTAGTAGGTTGTGATCTACTTTATCAAATGCCTTACTGAAGTCCGAGTAAATTATGTCCACAGCATTCCTCTGATCCACTAATTTTGTCACTTGGTCAAAGAATGCAATAAGATTTGTCTGGCATGATCTATTTTTGACAAACCCATGTTGGCTTTTAGTAATGACTTTGTTTGCCTCTAGGTGTTCGTTGATTCGTTGTTTGATTATCTTTTCCATGATCTTCCCAGGTATTGAGGTCAGGCTGATAGGTCTGTAATTTCCTGGATCCATTTTTTTTCCTGTTTTGAGGATGGGAACTACATCAGCTCTTTTCCAGTCCTCTGGTAGTTCCCCTGTGTTCCAGGATCTTTGAAAAATATAGTTCAGTGGCTCCGATATCACATCTGCCAGTTCCTTGAGAACTCTGGGATGTAATCCATCTGGTCCTGGCGATTTGAACTCATCTAGTCTGGACAGGTGCTCACTAACCATTTTCTTGCCTATCTTAATTTGTGTTTCTGTTTTGTTTTTTATGGCACTATTTTTGATAGGTTGGTCTGTTTTTTCCCTTTGTGTAAAGACAGATGCAAAAAATGAGTTAAATAGTTCTGCTTTCTCCCTGTTGCTTGTCACCTTCTTGCCACTTCCACCCACTAATGGACCAATCATTTCCTTCACTTTTTTCTTGTTTTTTACATTTTGAAAGAAGCTTTTTTTGTTATTTTTGACTTTGGTCGCAAGCCTTAGTTCATTTTGAGCCTTGGCTTTCTTCACTTCATCTTTGCAGGCTCGGGCTATTTGCTGATATTCTGACTTAGTTATGTTCCTCTCTTTCCACTTTCTATACTTGTCCTTTTTATCTTTCAATTTGTCAGAGAGTTCTTTATGCAGCCATGCTGGTTTCTTTTGGGAGCTGTTGTTTTTCCTCTTTGTTGGTATTGTGCTAGACTGTGCTTTTATTATCTCATTTTTCAAAATTTCCCAAGCTTCTTGAGTTGTTTTCCCCTTGAGGATTCTCATCCATGGACTCCTTCCCAAGCCCTCTCTAAGTTTTATTGAAATTAGCTCTCTATGAGTCCAAGACCAGTTTGACTGTGTTTCTATTTCTTGTGCTTCTATAATGTTAATTTCTAAATATATGTTGAATTCTAATATTGCATGATCATTCCTCCCATGGTTCCCTATGCTTCAACACCGTTCTATCATTTCATCTCTGTTAGTGAGAATTAGATCCAAAATGGCTAATCCCCTATTTCCCTTCTCTACTTTTTGGGAGACAAAGTTGTCTGCTAGGTTTATCAGGAATCTGTTTGATCTTCCACTTGGTGCAGAGTTTGTCTCCCAGTTGATGTCAGGGAAGTTAAAGTCCCCCATTACTATTGTGATGTGCTTCCTACATACTTAGTTAGCTGACTAGCAAAAAGTTCATCTATTTCCTCTGTTTGGTTGGGTGGCCTGTAGTATACACCTATGGCAATGTCATTTCCCCCCCCCCCTTTTATATTGACCCAAATGCATTCAAGACAGTTTTTATCATTGTTGTGCTCTATTTCTGTGGAGATGTAGTTATTTCTTATATAGAGAGCAACTCCACCTCCTCTTTTATTTGGTCTGTTTCTTTTAAATAATTTAAATCCCTCTAGCTGTGTGTTCCATGTGTGGGTTTCATCCCACAATGTTTCCGTAATGGCAACAATATCGTATCTGCCCTCATTAACCTGAATTTCTAGTTCACCCTGTTTGCTGTTCATACTCTGTGCATTGGTGTATAAACCTTTGAGTCCTTTGTGGGTGGCCCTGTGTTTCCTTTCTACATAACCTGTGTGGTGCCTGAGTTCCCCTATTGTCTTACCACCTATTTGGTTAGTGCACTTTATGTGGCACTCGCTATTAGAGGCTTCATTTTGCTTGATAGCAAGATTGATATTCTTGTCCACACACACATCTATGCTACATGCACTGATAGCCCTATAGTTTTTAAATTGCCAGGGACAGGGTTGTTCCGTATCAATTAACTCCCTGTCCCCGCTGTTTAGTTTAAATTTCCCTCCAGAAAATCTGTGAA